GACCTCTATGGCTAGCTCAGCGCTCTGATTCTCAGGCAAGCTTTATTTGTTAGATCATAAACAAAATATTACCACAAGCCATCATCAGAGAAGCTTCCTCCTGTAGCAGATGGGATCAGATACAGGGCCTCACAGCCAGACAACATGCAGAGAGTGAGAGACCTTGGAACACTCAACCCTAACTGGGATGTGTCCATCAAATCCCTCTCCTCAGTGCTCAGGGAACCCTGGAGAAGAGGAGGCAGAAATCAGGTAAGAGCCAGAGGGGATGGAGGCTGTAACACGACAAATAAGAGACCCAGAGGAAGATACTGGGGTTCGAGCTTCAAGCTGAAGATCAGAGAAGCAAAGTAGCTGGCCACTAGCTCTTACCTCTTCCTCAGGTCACACCAAAGGGGCGATCCTCAAACTGCTCCCAACTTCACTGCTCCTCAGATTCACCCAGACTGATATGTTCTCCTCAACGTGGCTAAAGATTAATTCTCTCTGACTCTGCTTTTGCTTATATTCCTCTCTCCTCCCAGCCATATCACTCCTGTCTCCTCCTCCCTAGTGCTGGGATTAAAGGCGTGAGCTCTGTTACTCTTCACTCTTCCATCTGCCTGCCTCCTGGGATTAAAGGTGTGTGCCACCACTGCCTGGCTCAATGGCTGCTGGGATTAAAGGTGTGTATAATCATTGCCTGACCTCTAGGACTTGTGACTGACTTTGCTTTCTGAATCCTCAGGCAAGCTTTAATAAATCATAAATAATACATCACCACAGGAGGACCCCAAATAATAAAGCCTGTAGACACAGTATGACAGACACATGTTTAAATTCATAAAGGCAGAGGCAACATACACAGGGCCTGCATGAGTCTGCATCAGTTGGGGTCCTACATCTAAAAGAAGAAGTAGACACATGTCCCCAACCCTAACCCAAACCTACCTCCAACTGATAACCATTTGCAAGTGAAACTTTAGTTTTCTCAGGAGTCTCACTGGGGAAGCAAGGTTGCATGTCCAGCAGTAGATGGCCAACAGAAAACAAATTCAATGGTATCTTTGGAGTTCCTTGACTCATAATGTTTTCCTTTATTATCTTCTTTTTTATTTTTTATTTTTACTTTTACTTTTTTCTTTCTTACTCTCTCTCTCTCTCTCTCTCTCTCTATATATATATATATATATATATATACATACATATATATACATATATAAAAATGTATGTATATGTATACTCTCTCTCTATAAATGATCTTCTGGTCTTGTGTTTTTATGGTTGTCCTGAGTGTAGGACTGAGTGAGTCTCTGTGTTTATATCTGTTTCTTGTGACTTTTCTTAGGCTCTTTTCCTTCTGTTTATTTTTTTCCTATTCTGATGTGCTTGCTTTATTTTGTAATGTTTTATTCTATTATTATCCCTTAGAAGCCTGTTTGTTTTCTAATGAGAGGAAAAGAGAAGATGGACATGAATGGGAGGAGAGGTTGGAGAAACTGGGAGGAGTTCAGGGAGAGGGAAGCATAATCAGGATGCTTTGTATGAGGGAAAAACTATTTTAATAAAAAGGAAAAAAACCCTGCTTATATATGTTGAGTAAAAACTCCAGTTTAACATAAAGGGGGGCGGGCTTCCCTCGCTAAGTTGCTTTTGGTCATGGTGTTTTATCACAACAATAGAAACCTTCACTAAGATACCAGGCAAATGTGGCTGGTGGACACACTTTGGGCTTCAAATATAGATCTGAGTCTATGGAAATGGAGAATGGGGGTGTGGGGGAAGGGAATAAACAACCTGTCTATGTCAAGAGCTGGAAGGGAGGCAGAAGCTCATGCTGGAGTCAGAGGGTCCAGGGATCCCTTACCTGTGTGACCTGGGGTACTGAAAGCTAGGGATGGTAGCAAAAGTGAGTGAGGGCAACTGAAGGCCCCCAAACCGCTTGCCTTTCAACACTGATGGTTAGGAGGGCAGAAAACCCTTATTCCAGTTCTTAATAGAAATAGAATCTTAACATCTGGTAGTAGTTTAAGACAGTAATGCCAAAAGTCAGCAAGTATACAAAAGAAGAAACTGAGTTATTCATTGATGGCTGTTGAGAATGCAAAATAGTATGCCACTTTGGAATACAGCATTTCAGTTTACCATAAAAGTGCAATATACAACTAAAGTACAACCAACAATTCCATTTTGTGCATTTATTACAAACAAAAACTTACATTATATGTAAACATGTGCTCAAATCTTTAGAGAAGTTGATAGCTGAAAATTGAAAACAGGGAATATATCCTTCAACAGGTAGATCATCATATAAAATATGATATATGTACACATATGTGTATATGTATGTATACATAAAATGCCATATATGCATACTATGAGACATTACTCAACAATAAAAATGGATGATCTAATAATATATACAATATCTTAAATGAATCTTCAGGTAATTATGAAAAAAGAAAAAAAAACAATTCCAAAGGTTGCATCCTATATGACTACATACATACACATATACTTCTTAGCATATACATAATCATATATACACACACATATGCATATGTAAATATATTTGTAAAATAAAAGTCTTCTGAAATGGAGACCTGAATAGTAATTATGTCAGGAAAAAAGTGAGCATGGCTCTGTGAGACTCTATGGTGATGATAGAAATGGCCTTAATTTGACCTCTTCAGTGTCAATGTATGTAATATACATACATATATAATTATATTAGATAGATATCAAATGTTACTTTTGGAGAAAATTAGGTCAAGAGATTATGGAGACACTTTGTATTAGTTAAGAATGAACACTAATCTATAAATATCCTAAAACTAAAAGTTTAGTTTTTTCAATTTATTTACTCACTAGTGTATGCCTCTGTGTGTGTGTGAGAGAGAGAGACAGAGACAGAGAGAGGTACACATACACACATGCCACAAAGAGTATGCCAAGGTCGAAGGACAACCCGAAGGAAGGAATCAATTCTCTCCTTCCACCATGTGGGTCCCAGGGAACAAACTCAGGTCATCCATCTTGATGGCAAGTGCCTTTACCTACTGAGGCATCTCATAAGATACCTAAAAGTTTAATTTTTAAAAAATATTTTTTTATTTTATTACATTTATTTATTTAGTGGGAGTCACAAATATCACAATGCATGTGTGGTGTCAGAGGGCATCACCACATGGTTTTAGGACAAACTATGGCAATCGGGCGGCAAGCATATCTACCAACTAAGCCATCTTGTTACCCCAAAATTTAATCACTTTCAAAGTTCATCCTTTTTTTTCAGGGTAATTTATGGAAAGCCTATCCTCTGGGAACCACGTTTTGCTCACTGAAATAACAGCCAGAATTCTATTCAGCATTTCCCAAAACACCATAAAGAAGTGTGTTGTTCATTGTGACTTCCATGCCCCAGAGAGATTCCAGTGCAGGTGTCTGATAGGTACCCTGTGAAAGACAGCATCTTTTTAATAACAAATGCACACAGAAAACTGAGTTCAAAGTTCCTGAGTGAATGACTGACTCTCCTGTGGGGTATCATGGTCCCTCTCTACCTGGATTGTAAGAATGTAAGAATGTACATCAGATTTCTGATATTTACAGATGGCAGTGCACACTGTCAGGACTCCTAAGAATTCTTTCCTGCTGATTCAGAAATGTCTTTTGTAGACAGGAAAGACACAGATGGATCTCTTAGCAGATGTAAGTCTCAGGACATTTTATAATCAAGTCTTTTCCATATATAAAAAGTTTTGTAACTCAACTGTCTTTAAAAGTATAAAGCTTTTTTTATCAGATTATGCATTAAAGTAATTAATATTTAATATGCCTTAAATAAATAAATAATAATTAATTTTAAATATCCAGAAAAGGAAATGTACACTTAAATAACACACACACACACACACACACACACACACACATATCAAATACACACCATAGCCTAGATTTACTACAAGTCACTTCTTCAGGAAATCAAAGAACCATGACTGACTTTATCTTAATACATTTTATTACTAAGTCATGTGTTTGTATATGTACTAAACTTTCATGATTGTGAGCTCTACTAATCTGTTATGAATTGGCAGCCAGAACTTGACTTAACCCAAAACATCACTGGCAGACACAAAATTGTATTAGCAGAAATATCTCCTACATGAGAAGACAGAAACTGGTATAGGACCATCTCTTAGCAACCTAACTTCTGCAGGGCTTTGCAATATAAATTCTAAGGAAAAGGATTCATATACTAAGATGTTTTGCATTATTTTGCTTCAAGAATCCATTAAAGCAAAATATTAATAATCTATAGCACATCTGGATGATGATAAATTTAAAGTATGCATATCAAGCACCCAGAGCTACACTAAACTATTTATGTCTTTAAAATAAATGGATCCAAAGAGAGAAATATAATATGTTTACTATTGATTTGTTTCAAACCCAATTTGTTTCTGAGGTTTTATAAATTGAACTTAGCAAATAAAGTAGTGAAGAAGAAATTTTACAAATTTGTCCTTAAATATCAGAAAAATCAAGCAAAATAATGTATCACACACATTAAATATTGAAACTGACTGGTAACTTATATTTAGTGTGAGTCCAATCTGTCAACATCCTTTAGGACTGTTTACAGGAACTTCATGAGTAGCAAAATCTATAGATATTCAAGACCCATATGTAAAGTGACATAACATTTGCATACAATCTATGGAGCCTGCAGACATATGGTTCACAGATATGAATTCTCTGTAAACACTATCTAGGCTGAATGAATATAAAGCCACTGAGTAGAAATGATGGAAGATATTTTCAGGAGAATGTTCTGAATATATATATATAAATATATATTGCTTTCAAACTGTAAAGGGCTTTGTAAGATAAGACAGCAGAGATCTAATGAGATTAACATAAACTAGAACACCATACAGGCATTTTTATAGAGAAGGTTTTCACTGTGGGGGAGCTTCAGTTAGATGATGAAGAACACTCACCTTCTGAAGCAAGTGGTACTATTTCTGTAAGTTCACCCTGGACAGTGCATTCCTCAGAGCCTGGTGGACCTGCTTGTTGCGCAGGGTGTAGATGACAGGGTTCAGAAGTGGTGTCACCACCGTGTTCACAAGAGCAGCCTCTCTGTTGGATTCTAGCCTACTTGTTTGCTTTGGTTTCACATATATAAATACACAGCTACCATACATTAGAGAGAGGACGATGAGGTGGGATGAGCAGGTGGAGAAAGCTTTCTGTCTATCCTTGGCACATGGAAGGTGCATTATTGAGATTAGTATGTTGCTATATGCAAATACAGCTGTAATGACAGATGTGAAAAGGACAAACAATGCAGCGCCAAATGCCATTCTTTCAAGAGACTGGGTGTCTGAGGAGGAGAGATGAATTAAGGAGCCAAGGTCACAGAAGAAATGGGGGATGACATTGGAGCCACAGAAAGACAACCAGGAAAGCTTCAGAATTAAACCAGTTATTAGGATGAAGGAAATCACATAGCTGAAGAAAACCAGAAGGAAACAGACCCTGGGGTTCATGATGGTTGGGTAGTGCAGAGGCTTGCAAATGGCCAGGTAGCGATCCAAGGACATCACAGCCATGTGGAAGAAAATCGTTGACCCAAGAAACAAAAAGAAAAACGCTTGCATGATACAAGGAGTGAAATGAATTGCTCTGTCTCCAAAAAGAAAGATAGATAGCAGCTTGGGGATCACAGTAGAGATGAAACAGCACTCACAGAAGGAGAAGCTTCTGAGGAAGAAGTACATAGGGGTCTGCAGGTGAGGATCAGTCCAAGTAATGGCAATGATGAGTGTGTTTCCTGCGACTGAGGCCAGATACACCAGCAGGTGCACCAAGAACAGGACCTTGCCCAGGTGCTGAGCCACATGGAAACCCTCCAGCACAAATGCCAGGACCATTGTCTCATTCTTTGTCTCCATCCGTACTCCTTCTTTGATGTGCTAAGCAAATCTGCTATCACCAAAGAATAAATAATGTAATTGGTGGCCACTGCTTTTAAAAGTTGTTTGCCCTAAGCATAGGGCCTGCAGGGATCTGCACCAGGTCCTCTGTGTATGTTATGGCCATCAGCTTGGTGTTTTTGTGGGACTCCTAATAGTGGGATCAATGTATCTCTGACTCCTTTGCCTGCTCTTGGGACTCTTTTCCTCCTGTTGGGTTGCCATGCCCAGCTTCATTATGGGGGCTTTTGTCTTGTCTTATAGTATCTTATTTTGTTGTATTTGGTTGATGTCTCTTGGAGACATGATCTTTTCTGAAGGGAAATGGAAAACGAGTGGCTCTGGTGGAGAGTGGAGATGGCAAGAGCTTGGAGGAATTGAGGGAGGGGAAACTGTGGTCTGGATGTATTGTATGAGGAAAGAACGTATTTTCAGTTTTAAAATGTTCAAAAAAAATTTGCTTGCCCTCGTTACTCTAAGGAGTCATATTTTAATTTTGAAATATTTTATTTTCTCATTTCTAAAACACAAATGTGCAGTTTTATGTTGAGTTTTAGAATTTTATATCCTTAAAAATATTATCTTTGGATAATATCACATCAGGTAAAGAATAAAAACTGAGAATCATTCTTTTGAAGATGAAACATACAAGTATCACAGAACATTGCAAGAAAACAATGCTTGTTTCTAGACTGCAGACTTGTATGGCTTGTATGTGCTGATTGTAGCATCTGGAAATATTATGGAAAAAGCTATGCTCCAACTATCCCATACCAAGCTGATTTTTAAACAAAGTCTGTTTAGAATGAGTTATTTCCCACTTAACAGAAGGGGCACACATGCTTGCTACCATAATATTCTCATAACTATCCAATGAGATTAAGAGGAACTATGTGTAATTATGGCAAAATAGGTCAATGGTGTTTTGTTCAGGCACAAAGAAGAAAACCATAATGTGTGACTCGTGTCCTGTGCTCTCTATTGTCCTTGCAGAGTGGAAGTCTCTGATTCTGCTGTCCTTCACAATTTGTTCATGGTCCTTCCCTTCCTGTGAACATTGTTAATAGAAGATGCTACTGTGGTTCAAATCAACAGCTGAAGGCACGTTAATATTCTTAAAGCCACTGCCTGGCAGAATGGCCTGCATCTGCTCTATAGGGAAGAGTCTGGGCATTTGAGGAAAGCTGGTGCTCCAAGTGGAAAACCCAACACTGCTCAGTCTACTAATTTCTTGACTGCCCAGATCTACGGCTTTAACTGTGCAGGAACCACAGTACTAGCTTAACGAGCAATCTGTTTCAAATTGCACATCCTCCCTGTGGCCACACACTTACCTGGAAGCAGCTCCCAGTAAAGAGATGTTTTAGTTAAATCTTCCTTCTTCCAAGAAATCAAAATCTTCCTCCTAGGCACAAAAAAAAAAAAAAACCTTAATTAAGAGCTATATGTCTTTGACCAACAAAACAAATAATATACACTTTCTATTTCAAGACAGGAAATTATTAAGACTACTTGTTTTTAAGAAATAAGGAGATTTATAAATGTTTGTTCTATGGAATTGTCACCAATTCTCTGGGACATGATAGCACACTCATTCCACAAAGTATATTAACATTATATTGGACCTGAAGACATAGACTAACATGAACATCATACCTATCTGGTGGCACATCCATTCAAAGAAACTTAGGGAAAGAAGACAATAAATGTCAAATCCTCTTGTTCATGGAGGCTAGTAGCTATTTTCTTGCTAACTAGTTATGGAAGACCATTATGTAACTGCAGTCATGAATGAGACTACATTTATAGACCTTATGATATATTGCTACAGGATTGTTTACTATCATGGGAAGTCACACAAGGTCTAAAAGGACAAACCTCTAGGACATTCATTAGAGAAATATGAGAAAAAGATTCAAAACTAAAACAACAGAATCCCAGGAGACAGTTCATTGTTCGTTGCTGAAAATAGAAAATTTCAGGAGAATACTATAATTAACATTTCATTGCATATGGCAACTTCTGACCTCATTCAGTCCTCTGTAAAAGTCTTTAGTGGTATATTTCCCATGGCTCCCAAAATTACATATGTGAGGAAACACAGGATTACAATGCCCATAGTTTATCACATTTTCAAAGATTTACTTGTTTCTATTTTATGTGGTTTTTGCCTATAAGTATATATGTGTACCATGTACAAGCCTGTTACCTATGGATGCCAGCACATGGAGTCAGAGCCCCCAGGAGTTATAACTACAGATGGCAGTGATTTGCCATATGGATTCTGGGAAGTGAACCTGGGGTCTCTGTAAGAGAATGAGTCCTCTTAAGTGCTGAGCCATCTCTCTGGCCGCACAGTTCACATATTTTCAAATAAAGAAATGTAAGCATACAGGTGGATTTTTATACGAAGGAAGGGTATATAACCACTTCTCAAACTTTGACATTTCCCACTTTGCTGTAAAGTTCTCTGTCCGTTGACAATAAATAATGCTCACAGAAGAAAATTACTATAATTTCTACCATCAAAGTTGCTTTTGCCTGTCCATGACCAGGGCAGAGTAGGTGTCCATCTTGCTAAGCCTTTGTTACCCTTCAGCAGGTGTCTGAGGTCCATTCATACTGTGTCAGTAGCCTATTCTTTTATACTCGCTGTCATAAGCCACAGCTTTCCAGTCTCCCTTGAAGGACATTTATGTGCAGTCCAGTTCCAGGCTACAGTGAGGCAAGATGCCATGACTATTTCCTACAAGTTGTAGGAAAACAGAAGGATTTGATGCTCTTGAGTAACTAATATTCAATTAACAGCATGTACAAGATATAACTAATGGGCTGGATCTTTTGTACATCGTACAAAGATATTGGTTTCGTTACAGCAATTTTTGTGTGTCTGTGTATCATATACTTTACCCATCATGAGAGCCCCATTACTCTCTCTTATATACACATTGGTTATCTTCTTGCTATGCTTTCCTTTCTTACACGTGCACCTTTGTTTTTAAATCTAGATTCTGAATATGTGAGAATACATGTAACATTGGCACATGCCTGGTTTGCTTTACTTAACATTGTGATCTCCAGTTCTCCTTCTGCAAATGGCATGTGTATCTTACTTTCTGTAGCACACTTTCTTTACCCACTCATCTTCTGATAGATATCTACGATGATTCCATAAACTTTCCATTGCTGCTATGACAATCAAGCACATGCAGACATCTTTGTAGTGTGCTAACCAGATCTCTTCAGGATTGCAGAAGAACTGCTGAATCATTGGTAGTTCTGTTTCTATGGAGTTTGTTGTGTTTTTAGGAGAAGGGGGTCTTGCTCTGTAGCTCAGGCTGGCTGTGATCACACAGAAATCTCCCTTTTCTTCATTATCCAACCGAGTGCTAGGAGTACAGACATGAGCCACCACACCCAACATTTTCAGGAAAGCTCATACTTGGTTTCTTAGCAAATGCAATACTTAAATTCCCACTAAGAGTGTCACAGAGACACCATTTCTCTACATCCTCCCCAGAATTTGTTGTTTATTTGAACATTGCCAATATAATTTGAATGACATGGAATTTCCATGTGGTTTTGGTTAACAATTTCCTAATGTTAAGTATATTGGAAGTTTTTCCATGTATTTATTAGCCATTTGTGTTTCTTCTTTTAAGATTTTTTTTTTGGATAGTCTGTTCTATTTCATTAAGCTGGGTATATTTTTTGTGCTCATACTGTGCTGTTTTTATTGTTATTGTTCTGAAATACAATTTAAAATTCACTATTCTGATGCATTATTCTTTTGACTTAGAAATACTTCAGCCATTCCAAACCGTTTGTTCCTTTGTGTTAATTTAAGGGTAGTTTTAACTTTCTGTGAGAATGTCAGTGAAATTTTTATTAGAATTGCTTGAATTTGTAGATTTTTTATAATATAGATGTTTTCACAATATTAGTTGATTAACTCGGGAGTATTGTAGACTTTCTACCTTCTGGTGTCTTCAATTGTCCCTTTTGATATTTAATGTTTTCGCTGCAGATGCTCCTACCCCTAGGTTTATTCTTAGATAATGGTAAAGCTATTGTGAATGGCACTATTTTCATGTTTACTGTCTCAGCATATTTATTACTGAGGTATAGAAAAGCTACTGTTGGACCCTAATTCTGGTAGTGGATCAGTATTTATCCCTAGTGTACAGATAGACTTTGGGAGCCCATTCCACATAGAGGGATACTCCCTCAGTCTAGCCACATGGGGGAGGGCCTAGGCCCTGCTCCAAATGATATGACAGACTTTGAAGACTGCCCATGGGAGGCCTCACCCTCCCTGGGGAGCAGAAAGGAGATGGGATGGGGTTTGGTGGGGGGAACAGGGGAGGACAGGAGGGTGTGGGAACTGGGATTGATATGTAAAAGAAACTTGTTTCAAATTTAAATTTTGTGTGTGTGTGTGTGTGTGTGTGTGTGTGTGTGTGTGTCTCAATCTTCTGATCAAAAGACACTTGACTGGCTGATAGGTTAAAAAACGAAATCCATCCTTCTGCTGTCTAAAAAAAAAGGCCTTAGCTTTAAAGACAGCCATTACCTTAAGATAAAAGGATGGACAAAAGAACGCCAATCAAATGGGACAACAAAGCATCATTGCTGGCATAATATCATACAAAATAAACTTTAAACTAAAACTAATCCAAAGAGGTAGAAAGGGACACTTCACTTTACCCAAGGAAACAATTAACCAAGAGAACATTATTATCTTAAACATAGATGCATCAAAATCTGGTGTACTTGATCTCATGAAATCATACCACTAGAAATAAAGACATAGCCAAATATTACATCGTTCACAACAGAAAAGATAATGGCAAAAGCAACATAGAGTAAACCATAAGTTTAGAAATTAATAAAAGTTAAGATGATGGTGAGTGAATGAAATAAAGGAAAGTGTCAGAGAAGGGAAATGATTAGCAAAATTAACTTAAAAATGAAGACGCCCACAAAGCACTTGAAACATGAGGCTTCCAACCTAAAGAGTTTGTAATGAACGCCACCCACTCTTCCTTTCTACCTGCCTGCCAGTCACCCCCACGACAAACCAGCCAGGCACTGGTGCCCTGCAACTTCCCACCAAAAGAGAGAATCCCTAGTCTGACCAATGGTATTATTATGCCTGTCTGCTAGTTGTCACACTCACCACCCAGGCGGATGTCTGTACCACAAGGAGCCTGACCAGAACTTCCACCACTCAGACTTCTTTGGATACCCAAATCACAAGCCAAAGAGGGTAGCTCCAACATTGAATAACAAGTACCATTCACGGGCCACAATCTGACAGCTTGGGCACAATGCCAATCAAGTGTCCAAACAACTGCTTAGCAAAAAAGAGACCAGATACTCACACCAAGAACTAGTGTCAAAGACCTAATTCTAGATGCCTAGATCATATCACAAAAAGCAAACAAACAATGAATAACTGGGATAGTATGTCTCCTCCAGACATTAGTACTTTAAATATACTAATATCTGAGAAAAACCAACTTAGAAAATGTATACACAGGACAATGATTTAAAAATAATAATTATAAACATTCAATAAACTCATGCCTGAACAATAGCAATGAAAACATAAAGAAACAATGGAATAATAAATACAATTAAAGACATGAAAATAGCATTTAATAAAGAGATGGAATCTCTAAAATACTATCCAAAGTGAAATAAAACTTGAAATGAAAACTCATGAAGTCAAACAATATGTTCAAAGCAAAGTATCTCAAACAGATTGAATCAAATAAAAGACAGAATATCTAGTGTCAAGATAGAATGTTCAAAGAAAATGTTAAATCTCAAAAGAAACCAAGAATTTAATATGCAGGTTATATGGGACACTATAAAATGACTAAACTTGAAAATATTGGTATACAAGAAGGAGAAAAAAAACATGTTTAAGTGCACAGAAAATATTCTTAATAGAACCATAGAAGGAAATTGAATCTAATATTCAAAACAAAGAATGGATATTGAGAAGAGACAATGACACACATAGAGACAGGACAGTGGAATAACATTTGACTTTTTGATGGAAACTTTCAAAGCCAGAAGAGTCTAGACTGATATTTTAGAAATTCTGAAGAACTATGGATACCAAGTCAAACTGTTATACCCAGCAAAACTATCAGTCATCATCAAAGAAGAAATAAAAAAATTTCCATCATTTAAACAGATTTAAAAAATTTACGTTCATAAACCACCTCTACAGTAGATACTAGAAGGAATACTTGGGGCTAAAGAGAAGATAAAACTTAATATCCAGGAAAGCACAAGGAATAGAACAATCCCAGAACAGTTAACCAAAAGCAATAAAAAAAAACCCTCCAAAATAAATAAATAAATAGGAATTATTAATCAATAATAACTCTAGATATTAGTTTTTCAATTCCCCAACAAAAAGACGCAGACTAATGGATTGAATCAGAAGACAAGATCAATCTTTTTCTCTGCCTCTAAGATACACACCTCACTATCAGTAGATAGCACCTTAGGGTAGAAGAATGGAGAAGCTTTCAGGAAAGGTTTGGTATCACAAATACAAATTTGGAATAGAAATAACAAATGGACAAGAGGATAATGGTGCTGTCTTTCTTCTCCTGTTGGTTAGGTAAGTTTATTTCTCAAAGACAAAGTTCTATTTTACCTTGGTTATCAAACTTGTTTGCATGAAGATGTTTATCATATGATATTATTGTTCTTGTAAAACCTTTAGGATATATGGAGTCGCACCCCTTCTTCACATAGAAACCTTTCCTGGTCCTCTCTGTCCCTCTCACTCTGTTTCTGCTTAAACTTAATGAATTTCATTATGAGTCACTTCAAAGAATGAAATTCTGCTTTGCTTATTTTCACTCTGCCTCCAGATTCTTTGATTGATTGAATACATATTAGTTGAAAACATGCTCAAATCCCCTTCATTTGGATTCAAATTATGTTTTTCCCTTTAAATTTAAATGCTTACATTTGCACAAGGTTTGATAAGAGCTATTATTTTCTTTTTCTGAAAAATGCCTTCAAATTTTGTTAGTAATATTTTCTGTCATCAAATCATTATTTACAATGAGTTCTTTACAGCCAATGATAAGCTCTCTCAGATAATTTATTCTTATTTTGTTGTTTATTTCTCTTTTACTCTGTGGCTGAAGAACATATCCTATATTTCCATTCTTGTCAAGGGTTTTGAGGTTGAGTTTACAACGCAGTAGAAATTCTGTCACGATAAAATCCCCATGTGCTCACGAAAGCAATATGCATGCTTCAAACTGGTAAACCTGCAATAATTAGTCAAGCCCATTTTTTTCACTAACAGACTTATGTAAGTCTGAACACTTGCCATTATTTACCCCTTAATCACTGCAACAATGTTAAACTTCCATTGTGTGTTCTTTATTATCTGGTTAGTAATGCCACTTTTTCATATGCTTTTAAACTTCCATTGTCTATCATACATGTGTAGTTACCAATCTTCTTTGTTCAGTCTACTTGGATTAGTATTAATTCAGTATTATTAGTTTTTTTCCTTGAAATTTTGCAATTTTGAACTTAAGGCTGTCTCTATGTCCCTAAATTTTATGCCATAACCAATCATAGTCAAACCATCCTTTTTTTTTTTAAAAAAAAAAAGGGGGGGGATCTTAATCTACTTACATTTCATCATAATTGCAAAGTTAGATTTATCTCTGTGGCCTCAGTATTTATTTCAATTTGTCCTTTCTATTATATATATATATGTGTCCTACTTAGCTTTCTGTTGCTATGATAAACTCCGTGGCCAAAAGCAGCTTGTGGAGGAAACAGGTTTATTTGGTTTCCAGGTTACAGTTCATCATTGAGAGAAGCCAAGGAAGGAACTCAGGGTGGGGAGCTTAAGCAGAAATGGGGATATGGTTTGCTGGTTACTCCCAAGGTCACAGTCAGTTGCTGAGGATGACACTGCCCGTGTGTGATGGTCCCTCCCACATCAGTCAACAATCAAGAAAATACCCCTCAGACATGCCCACAGCCCATTTGACGGAGGCAATTCTTCAACTGAGTGTCAATCTGACAACCAAACTAACCAGGACAAGGGTGTTTTTTCCTGCCTTGTCACCTATTCAGTTTGTCTCATGACTCCTGATCAACCAATAGCTTCATTTTGCGTTATGACCTTGTCCATAAATTCATCTCAAGAGTATTATCGTCACAAGTAGACTTCTTTCCCCTCAGAAGTTCTTCTGAGTTGTTGCCATTTCCCCAGCACGGTAGCCAACATAACAACTGCACTCTGCTCCACAGTCCATAGCTCCTCTGGCCCTTTGTTAGTCCTTCAGGTTTGGAGGTTCAGACTGTAATCAGCCTGGCAAATGAATGAAAGCAATGGGAACTTCTGATTTCAATGCTTTTCATAGT